CCCTCACCTCACTCCTCCTCTTCCTACTCCTTTTCCTCCCACTTCAGCTCCTCCCAACTTGGGGGAAAAATATCCCACTACATTTTAACTGTTTTTGTTTTTATTGTAAATGGTGGACACACTTATATCTTTATCCTCTAAAACAGCAATCTTCTTAGGATAAATTCCTTCAAGACTAATTACAAGGTTTTATCATCTTTTTCTTTTATGTTCTTTGTATGCACAGTCAGATTGTCTTGCAGGAAAGGATTATCTATTTGACCCAACACTTTAGGAGAGTGCTTTTTAGCACACCAAATCCAAGATATTTTTGGTAAAGCTATTTTCACTATATGACTGGTATAAATACTACCACAGCCTCCTCTTACATTTTACTTCTATGAATGCTAAGAAGTTGACCTGAGGAAATAGAGATATTCGTTTGTTTCTTATTTCCATTTATTTTGCAGAACCCTCTTTGGATTCTCTGTCCATCCTCTTCCATTAGGTTGTTATGGCCTCTTTTCTGAATGAGGTCTCACTATGCAGCTCAAGATGACCTCAAACTCATGCTGCTGCTGCCTCAGTTTCCTCTGGTGCTAGCGTTCCAAGCCTGTCTTAGGATATCCTTTATAAAATAAAAATAAATTATCCTATTTTTAAGTGTGTGTGTGTGTGTGTGTGTGAGTATGTATGTGTAGTGTGGGAGGGGTGTCCACAGAGGCCAAAAGAGTCAGATTCTCTGGCGCTGGAGTTATAGGTGGTTGGGAGCCATCCATTGGTGCTGGAATCAAATTCAAGTCCTCCTTAACTACTGAGACATTTCTCCAGCCCCAGGATGTCCTGATTTCTTTAAATTATTATTTTGTGTGTATGGGTGTTTTGCTTGCATGTATGTCTATACACTCCATGGATATCTGGTACCTGGTGGACCAGAAGAGGAGTCACAGCCCCTGAGAACTGAAGTTATAGAGAGTTGTGAGTCACCATGTGGATTCTGAGAACTGAATTCAGGTATTCTGGAAAAGCAGCCAATTTTATGCTGTTCAGCCATCTCTCAGGCCCAATATTTCCATTCTTGACTCCGATTTTTTTTTCCTTTTTCATGTACATACATGAGTAGGTTTCTTAATATATTAAATGATTATTCTTCTGCTTCTATGAGCTATAAAATATGCATATTTTAAGTATACATTCTAAAATTTACATAAGTCAATATAGTGTGTGTGTGTGTTTTACTACAATATTATAAAGAAAAGAGGACATTAGCCAGATCTGGGAATTTTCTATAACTGTAAATCCACATTCATTCAGAAAGTTTAATGACTTAAAGGCAATTTGTTTGGGCAAAGAAAAAGATTTACTTGGAAAGCTAGCAAAACAAAGATGGAGTAGCTCCCCAACAAAGACCAGCTTCCTTGGGGAAAAATATGGAGGGTCACGGGGTAGTAGTCTGTTTTACCAATGCACCAGGTGCTATGTGTTAATTAGTATTTATATATTAATGGATGTTTGGGGTTCTATAAGTCTAAAGTAACCCAACAGAAAATACCAACGTGTGTGTTTTGAGTTCCTTTCCCCGAGAGTGACTAATTCGTCACTGAATTGTTAGGACATTAAAGGTGAACCCAGAGAGCAGGGAGGCTCGTAGATGGTACCTTTACCTGGAGGGCAAGAAAGAGAAAAGCTTTTTTTCAAAGGACATGGATGGGGATGATTCTTATTTTACACTTAGATAGCTTCAGTCAGAGGAGTCTGCTGGGGCAAAGACAGTGAGAGGCTAAATTATGTACAGTCCGGCTGTGTGGCTTCTAAAAAGTAAAAAGTTCATTAAGAGGAAGTAAAACTACAGGGTTTCTTTCCTTGATAACATTAGGAAATGTGACCCTAGCCAGGCAGTGGTGGCGCACGCCTTTAATCCCAGCACTTGGGAGGCAGAGGCACGCGGATTTCTGAGTTCGAGGCCAGCCTGGTCTACAGAATGAGTTCCAGGACAGCCAGGGCTACACAGAGAAACCCTGTCTCGAAAAACCAAAAAAAAAAAAAAAAAAAAAAAGGAAATGTGACCCAAGACAGCCATCAATATGCAGGGTTTAATGTCTGTGAACCATAAGGTTCATTTTGTTGTTTAGTTATAAAGATAACATTTCCCAACTAGTATCAGGGATAAGGCCAGATAATGGATAAAGTGGGTAAGAGCCGACTATAATCATACTATTGCAATATGAACTCCTTGTAGAAAACTCAACTTCTATTTGCATAGAGGTGAGGACGTTTCGGAGACGAAAAACTGTGGGGTTAGCCTGGAACTAAGCAACTATGAGCCGCGCTCTTTTCCAAGTTTAAAACAAGTTTGACCCCAAGTTGGGAGTTCTTTAGAATGAATGTACCTGGATCCGACGGCTTGGTCATAGGAGAACTACAACTCCCAGCAGTACCGGCGAAAACAACTTCCGGAGCGAGGGTCTCACTCACACCCGCCTCACCACCACCCCATTTCTCTCACGGACAAGCAGACATTTCGGTTCTAGCTTCACTGAGTTCGAGCTGGCATTGGCCACTGGTGGCGGAGTTTCTACTTTGCAAAGAAGGGCTCAGGACCCGGATAGGAGGAAGATCGGGTCATAGAAAGCGAGAGGGGGAGGCTATGGCTCAGGACGTCAATAGACGTCATGTCCGCTGGGCGGGGCCTATCGATCCCGCGCAAATTGAAGGTTGCATGGCTGCCCTTGCAGCTGCATCAGCTCGCGGGTATTCTGAATCCCAGGTGAGCGAGCCCCTATGCGGGCGACGGGGCGGTCCCTAGAGGAGCGGGCTGTGTGGAGGAAAGTGAGGTCCCCACTGCTCCGATCTATATGTACTCTGCCCCTCGGCGCGAGATCCGGATCTCCGGGAAGTGGGCGGGAGTGTGGGGCGCGCGGTGGACGTCCATAGGCAACTGCCTTGGCATCCAGGTCTCCCGCTTTCGGCAGAGGCGGGCTGACGAGTGTCCTTACCCCCACTTATATCTAGCGACGAATTTCCTTTGTATGTGCCCTTTCATATGCAGGTTTGAAGAGCCACGGCACCTGGAATGGGCTTGCATGCCATGCCTGTTCGTTCGGGAGACAGGACTAAGTTGAAGCCGCTGCTGCTGTTACCTCGGGTGCTACCTGCGACCTTCTGGTGTTGATGCGCCACATGGCGCTCAGTCACTCCTGTACTAAAGAGGAAATTATTTATTCGAGAATTACTTGGCCTAGAAGAAACTTACAGACATTTCTCTAAATGTAATTATCTCCTTTTTTCCCTCAGCATCCATAAAACCACGTTTTAGAGACGTTGTCTTTTAAACGTAGTAGACTTGCTTTACACAGACCCACCCGCATCCAAATTCTGATGTTTAAAATTAAGAATTCATAGCCGGGTGGTGGTGGCGCACACCTTTAATCCCAGCACTTGGGAGGCAAAGGCAGGTGGATTTCTGAGTTTGAGGCCAGCCTTGTCAACAAAGTGAATTCCAGGACAGCCAGGGCTACACAGAGAAACCCTGTCTCGAAAAACCAAAAAAAAAAAAAAAAAAAAAAAAAAGAATTCATGCCTTGTCTAGGGAATCATAGTTAATGGGCATGGCCTTAAAAGTAAATGAACCTGTCAAGTTTCAGGACTGCTAGCCAAGAACATTGCCACTTTCTTCTAGTGTCAAGAGGGCACCTCTGGGCTTCTGATCCCTTAGTCTTTAAGAACATGATCTTTAGTCTGTTGAGTCAGGTGCCTGTCACTGTGACTCTACAACTGAGAGAGAGAAAGGGAGAGGGAGAGGAGGGAGAGAGGAAGAGAAGGCTAAGAGTGGAAAATCTCAGGAAGCTCAGCTTAAAGCCCAACTAGCCTGCATGTGCAGCTCAAACAACTAAGACTATCTCAAACAAAGGAGAGAAAAAAAAAAAAGACTGTCTCAAACAAGATGAACTGCCATTCACATCACACATGCCATCATACACACAAAGAATAATTACAGTGGGTAAGAGCCTTTCCTCTTGCAAACATGAGGGTGTACATTAGAACACACACACACACCATTAAAACCCTGGGTGCCTGTGCCTGCTGGTAAACCCAGCGGTTGGGAGGCAGAGATGGCAGATCCCAAGAACTCATTCCTAGCTAGTTCAATAACACCTTGCCTCAAGGTGATAGACAGGGAGCAATAGAGAAAGACACTCCATGCCTTGCTCTGGTCTCTGCATACACACACCCCCAACACAAGACACAAAAACTTGATCATGGATAGAAATACCTGTACTGGGAACTGCCAAGCAGCTGCTGGAGGGTGGGGAGGGTTAATTGCTTTGAAAGGGCTGACATCTCCAGGACTTCCATGTAAGGAGCTAGAAGGGAATGGGAATTATGTGAATTTTTTTTCCCTTGAAGCTGTTTTGCACAGCAAACACGTGTGGCATTGGGATAGCCTTCAGTGAATCTGGTGAAATTGCCCCTAGATGCCACCATGGCTTTACCAGAGTATTGTTTGCAGTAAGCCATTCTGATGTTGTAGAATTGCAGTCATGTAAAAGCACAGATTTGTTTCCATAATTAATTCTGGTTACTTTTCAGTTGAAATGTCTGTCTCTAAACTTCACTAAACTTTGGATGTGGCCCTTTAATATAGGGGTGAATATGGTATCATAGCATGCAGTTTTATAGGTTCATAATACTGTCACTGAAAGGAGAAACTCAAAGCTTTAATGCCTCATTCCAAGTGCCTAGGACTGTTAAGAGCTGAGAGCGCATGTTGGGATTGTAAGTATGAAAGCATTTTGGAAGGAATAACCACTAAGGAATCCTGCAGTGGTGTTCAGGTTAGTGTGGTGATTAATGAAGTTCTCAGCTACAGAAGTTGCCAGAGGGAAGGCCAGACATTAGCTAAATGTTAGTTTCAGTGCCAGATTCCAGGCTGAATTTCTAAAGCTTTTTGGTAAACAAGCCTTGCTTTAATGTTGCTGTTTTCCGTTTTTCCTTTTGTATCATGTAGTTAAGTTGGCACTATGGGGATTCAAGGGTTACTTCAGTTCATCAAAGAAGCTTCTGAACCCATCAATGTGAAGAAGTACAAAGGACAGGCAGTAGCTGTGGACACCTATTGTTGGCTTCACAAAGGAGCTATTGCTTGTGCTGAAAAGCTAGCTAAAGGGGAACCTACAGATAGGTAAGTTTGGAATATGTGTCAGTTTAAGAACTAGAATGATATGCTTTTTGTTTTTGAGACAGTCCCTGGTATTTCAGGCTGGCCTGGAATTTGCTATAGCCAAGGATGACCTTGGACCTCCGATTCTCTTCCTGAAGTCCTACCCGTTGTGCCACCAATGCCCAGCTTCCTGTATGCTAGGGACTGAGCCTAGGGTTTCATGAGTGCTTAGCAAACACGTCTATGAACTGGTCTACATCCCCAGCATCTCAGTCCTTTTTTATTTTTCATCTTTGTTTCTCCAGTCATTGTTTCATTAAATACTAGCATTTATTAAGGACATATGTTTAGAACATTGCCAGACTTCCTTCTGTGGTGCAGATCTGATGTTCGGCTTAATAAGAAGCCAGAATGGCAAGATACAGACAGGCAAAGATCAAATATTATCTCCTGAAAAAATGGGATTTTTTTTCCCTCCTGTCCCCAAGCTCCCAGAATAACAATTCTGAGACTCTATAATTATGTTTACAAATACCTTGGCCATAAGCTTTGGCTGTGCTCTGACTAACTCATATCATCCAGTTGTTCTACCGAGTCCTGCCGAGAGGCTGATTACTTCTATTCATCTCATGCTTCTGCCCTTCTCCTAGCCGAATCCCCCATTCCTGTCCCCAAATCCTTGCTTCCTCTGGGAACTCCCACCTTCTTTTTCCTGCTTCTAGATTTCCCTTTTTCTGATATAGACCAATCAGTTTTGATAGGTGAAGCTTCCAAACAAATATAAGATTCCTTCTACATATTCCCCTTTAGTCTAATAAAAGGCTCTTTCTCTTACAATAATATACTACATATAGTAACAATTATGAAAACTATCAGGTAAGAATTACATTCACAAAGCCCAGTTCATATGTATTTGGTAGTTTTGGAGAAAGTATTCTATAAACTACCCTATCTTGGTGAGTTTAAAATTCTGTACCTAAATCATCATAACTTGTATTACTAAGCTAAAAATATCTTCTTAGACCTTAAAACATTTTATTAAATCTTAAACAACTTAAGCTTAATTGTGAAACTATGACCATCTTGTCCTCAACCCCATCAGAGACCTGAGAAAGAATAAATATTTGAGTGTTCAGGAAGTGCAGAGCAAGCAGCTTTCACAGCTTTAGAAATGGCAGAGAAAGCTGGCTACCTGACTGTCCCTAAAAATCGTCTCTCTAACGTTGGAGCATCCATCATCAGCCTTCTGGCCCAGAATATCCGACAGACTTTTTGTGAGCAGGAATTATGAAGGACTTGCCTACCTTGTCCTTGCAAAGCTTGGCAGTTGACTTCCCTGTGTCCCATTTGTCCATTTGGGGCAGAATTCTGTCTGCAATTGAGGCAGCAGACCTGTATCTTGTTTGAAAACCAAAGTGCCTGATTTCCTGTGTCCAGACCTTTTGGCTGAAGTCTGAATCTAGTGTAATAATCTTGCATCATATGTCCAGTGGTGGATGCCATTTGTAAAAGTGGAGGTTTTTTCCCTCTTGTCCTCAAGCTTCCAGAATGATGTTTATTTGACAGGAAGCTTTCAAACAAGCATAAGAGACTTCTTCTACAATCTCCTTTATTCTTTGCTCAAGAGAAGCTTTTGTTTTTCCTCTAAGGTCAACTTTTTAACAGTGTTTTCAGAATCCATGATTCTGCAGCACACTGCTAATCTGTTAGCAAATAATTCAGAGGTACAGTATAGTATGTTCTGGTCAAAAATGGTGGGTCCTGTTGACACCCAGTCTGAATTCAGTGACCTCATTCTAGGAAGGTTCACATGTATTCATATATAAAATCATGCTGGCTTTACCTCCCCTACCTCCTTTGTACATATATATTTATTTTTATTTTCTGAAAAATAAAGCTGTATTATTTTAGCTTTTCAAAAAGAAAACCCACGTTTTTTGTTAACTACTTTCTATGTTTGATTTTGTATTTTTGAGACAGAGTTTTGTGTAATCCAGGTGGCCTCAACCCTACATTTTAGCCCAGGATGACCCTCTGCTTTCTAAGTTCTGGACTTATGGGGCTGTACTGCTACAAGACTACACCAGATGTCTTAGTTACTTTTCTGTTGCTATAATATAACACCATGACCATCTTGGCAAGGATCGTGGCTGAAGGCAGCCAAGGACAGGAATGGTACTGGAGCAGTAGCTAAGAGCTTAAATCTTGAGCCGTAAGCATGAGGCAAAGAGAGCTAACAGAGTGACATGCTGTGGCTTTTAAATCCTCAAAGCCTGCTCATAACCCTTCCCAAATAGTGCTACCAACTGGAGACCAAGCATTCAGACATGAACCATTCTCATTAAATCACAACTGGCTGTATTTGAATGGTTCCTTAACCAAGAAAACTTAGTTTCTAGTTTCGGATATACTTCTTTTTTTTTTTTTTTTTTTTTAAAACCAAAATGCTTAATATCTGCTATGGATTTAAAATTTCCCCTGACAACTTAGAAGTCATATTTGGTACAATTAATTGCTTTACTTTGTCTTCCTGCCTTTGGTTTGAAAGGTGAGCTTAAGTGCCATTATATCCTGGCTGTGGGGACAGTAATGGCAGGATGCACTACATCCTCCCTCAGGAGCTCAGTATTCAGCCTCTTTCCCAGATTCTGTCTGCATGTTGGCCGAGCTTACACTCTGCTGTGGAATGTTGTGAAAACCAGACACTTTGAACACCATGTTGTTCAACACTAACCAGGAGATCACTAGTCCTGAGAGACATTCTTGGCAGGGTGTACAATAATTGTACAGGGTAAATAATACTGTCAAATCTCTTGGGTGTAATAAGGTGTTATGGAAGAAGTCAAGTGTTTGCTGTATTCTTAAAACTTTTCAATAGATTTGAGATGTTTCAAACCACATTTTTAAATAAAAGAGTAAAAGGTATTTGGAACAACAATAAAATGTGAGGATCAAAGGACATCAAAGCCTTTTACTTTACAGTTGAGAAAGGCCTACGAATCTGATTACTTCCTGACTACCTTTTGGAAAGTTTAATATCAAAAAAAAAAATTTGAGACTCAAAGCACACAAATGCTTTTTCCCTTTTATTCCCGTAGGTATGTAGGATTTTGTATGAAGTTCGTTAATATGCTGCTGTCTTATGGGGTCAAACCGATTCTCGTATTTGACGGTTGTACTCTACCTTCGAAGAAGGAAGTGGAGCGGTCTAGAAGAGAGTGAGTGACTTCCTACTAACATCTGGCTAATCTGTGGGAAGGTCAGATGCTGTAGGCCATATGATACCCAATTTCTAAAGCCTTAATTTTGTGTATAGCATGGTAGATCAACAGATTCCCTTAAGTGTTGTGTTTGTGTTGCACTGTTATCACGTGTTATAACCAGTAGTAGCAGTAGTAGTAGCAGCAGCAGCAGTAGTAATAACAACCACCTCGTTTACTCTGGTCTGGGCTGATATGCCCACAGATCTGAAGTACAGTTTCAGAGGAATTCAACTCTTTTAGCAAAGTTACTATAGTTGCTGTCTTATTATTGTTTCTTGAGTCTGCCCATAAGTACTTCTTTATATGTAGTCGTGTTTTCCCTTTCAGGAGACGTCAAAGCAACCTTCTTAAAGGGAAGCAGCTTCTTCGAGAGGGGAAGGTGTCAGAAGCCCGAGACTGCTTCACTCGCTCTGTCAACATTACACATGCCATGGCCCACAAAGTAATCAAAGTGAGTTAGTCAGAAACAACACAACCACAAGAACAAATGGTTAGCTCACTTGAGCTCTTGTAAGTCGTTTGTTAATGAGACAGCAAGGAAAGCAGGGGGGGAAATTGTTGTCAAGTAAAGGGCAGATGTCAAAGAGAGAGGAGGGCAGGGTGGTAAGTGATACTCCCTTCTCCCGCTGCCTTGCATGTATGCACTGCATTGGGATATTGTGTGTGGATATGACGGATTCCCATGGTTTCTTATGCCACTGTGGTCACATCTGTTTAACCATCAACTCGAGTTGTTTTTTGTTTTTTAAGTTGTGTGTGGTGTGTGTATGAGCGGTAGGTAGGCATGCATATTCCACAGATTGCAGGGAGGTCAGAGGACAGCATTGGCTGTCAGTCCTTCTTCTCCCAGCCTGTGTGAGGCAGGGCTCTGTTACTGATCAGTGTTTATCCATAGCTGGCCAGCGAGCTTCCAAGGATTCTCCTCGCTCACCTTCCATTGTGTTGTAGTAGTGCTGGAAAAAGACATAGGCTCTGTTATACTCAACATTTTTATGGGTTCTAGAATCAGAACTAAGATCTTCATAATCGTGTGACAAGTCTGCTATAACTATAACTGGATTAAAGCACTCCTGAGATCAGGGTGAAATATAAGTCAAAGTAGAAAGATTCTGCTTAAAAGGAAATGTTATTTTGGAAAGTTGTATTCACCTGTGACTGGAGGCCTGTTCTGCCCTTCAGTGTTGTTCTGGCGGTGTGCTGCTGCTCACTGTGGTCTCTCTCTCCCAGGCTGCTCGAGCTCTGGGCGTGGACTGCCTCGTGGCTCCGTACGAGGCTGATGCTCAGCTGGCCTATCTTAGCAAGGCTGGCCTTGTGCAAGCTGTCATCACAGAGGACTCTGACCTCCTCGCATTTGGCTGTAAGAAGGTATTGCACTGCAGCTGTTAACACGTGGTGCAGTGGTGGGGAGGATTGTGGGTGTTCAGGAGCTAAAAACTTCCTCTCCTGGAATACTTGTTTAATGCCTGTGATTTACGTTTTATGTTTTTGTTTTTTGTTTTAAATAGCGTTCATTTTTGGTTTTGCTAATTGATGCTTTAGGCTCTGTGCTCCTTCAGGTTGAAGAGCTCTCTTTTATCGTTGAAGGTTTGGTTTGGTTTGCATTTTTCGGGTGCTGGTGATCAAACCCAGGGCTTTATGCGTGCCAGACAAGTGTGTACCATAAGCTACATCCAGCCTATGGATTCTTTAGTGTTTAGCTCATCTCTTGGTTGACTCTGCATATGTGGTTCTGACTGCTAGACAAGTACTCCTTACCACTGACCTACAGCCCTCTTTACTCTGTACTCTGCCCAACCTGGGCTCAGACCCACACTGGAACCTGGCAAGCCTTGAACTGCTTGAACTCGCCTTCCTTCCCAGTCCAGGCTACCAGCTTTACTTTTTAATATTAATAACACAGTCCTTGAATTTTTTATTTGGTTTGGTAAACTTAATAGGTTTGGTAAATTTATCCATAACTGGGATATTACTCAGTTATTTAGAAATAATGTATGTATAAATGAATTTAATGGTAAACTTCATAATGATCTATTAAGCAGGGATTAAGATATAAAGCCATACCTTTTAATAACAATTATAATATGTCTATGCATCTTCAGAGATTGCTTGCAAGATGGTCATCAAAATATTACAGTGGGTGACAGATAAATGAGGTGTGGACAATTTCAGGTTCTTTTAAATTTCCGTATATCCTGCAATGAGCATATATTTCCTCAATAGCAAAAATCAAAGGTTGACCACTTTAGAATGTAAAAGAAGGTAAGAAGAGGAGATACTTGTACTTAGGGTTGCAGTGCAGAGCCCTAATGATTCCTTGGAATTACTGTTGTGACTTAGATAATGGTGATAAAGGTGCCTTTCTGGGCAGTGACCATTTCTCCTCTGTGTGAAGGTGATTTTAAAAATGGATCAGTTTGGAAATGGATTGGAAGTTGACCAGGCACGGCTAGGCATGTGCAAGCAGCTTGGGGATGTATTCACGGAGGAGAAGTTCCGGTACATGTGTATTCTGTCAGGCTGTGACTACCTCGCTTCCCTTCGAGGGATTGGCTTAGCAAAGGCCTGCAAAGTACTGAGACTGGCCAATAACCCTGATATCGTAAAGGTAGGAAACACCTTCGCTTTATGAATCAGCAGTTCGATCGCAGGAGTTCAAATGGGCCTCAAATACCATGTCTTTAGCGTGTGCGTGTTACAGAAGGGAGAAAGTGACTAAAGATGAGGACTTTGACTCCTGGGACCTACTACTTGGGAGTGGTTCTCAGACTTTCTGCTCTAATAGTTTTGTGTGGTAGGAATTTCTCTTTCTGTGGATTATAGCTATCAGTATACTGAATTAGAAACCTAAGCAAACATGTGACTATTAATTCACGGAAGTTAAGCGAAAAGCTGTTTATATGTTAATAGAAATCACAAACCCAGCACTCTGACCTCTTTCCTTCATCGTCTCAAACCCCACCCCAAACCCAGAAAAAGATGTTTTGAGAAAAGGTTGTTTTCTAGATTGAATGGACTTTAAAAACTAGAAGTGTATACTTGACATAAGCTGGGTGCTTGGCATTTGTATGAGCAGTGCAAAATTGATTATGAGACCAGAGCTTTGAGTGATGTGGCATGGCTGTGTTTTCTTTGTTAAGTCTTGTTAGTGCAGACAAAAGCTGTTGGGTTTGCCCCTCACTTTCCAGTGCCAGGTGTGGGGGTATTCCCTGTGCTCCTGTCTTCAGCTTTACATGTACTATTGTTATATCTGTTGTTAGGTTATCAAGAAAATTGGGCATTATCTCAAGATGAATATAACGGTGCCAGAGGATTACATCGCAGGATTTATTCGCGCCAACAATACTTTCCTCTACCAGCTAGTGTTCGACCCCATCCAAAGGAAGCTCGTCCCTCTGAATGCCTACGGAGATGACGTCAATCCTGAAACACTGTCTTATGCTGGGCAGTATCCTTTCTGAGTCATGTGGTTGAACTTTTCACCTACTCTGTTAATGTTATTGGTAGTAGTGAGACTTTAGTGAAAATGAAAGACAGAAGAACTTGGAAATCGGTTTTATTTTTCATGGGGCAGATCGTACTATTTTTCCTATCTTCGAAAAACTATGTTAGTAAAAAGTCTTGGAGTGTAAACCCAAGGCTTGTCTGTAGTGACGAGTGTTTGCTCCAGTGGAATTGACAGCCTCCACAGCAGGTCAGGTGCTGTGAGTAAGCATCAGAGGTCTCACTCGAGAACTGCTGAGGCAAACCTGATTCCTTTGGAGGGTTTCTACTACACTAGGCACAGTCCCTCTTCCAGGGTCACTGGTCTCCAGTACTCAGGCAGCTGCAGAATCCTGACTCTCTTAGGTAGTGGCTGGAACTTTTTCTGTATCTCTCTGGAAATGGGGGAGTGGAGGGCAGGTGGGGATTGGCTCAGGCGTCCCTTCAAGAAGATGGGTAGGTCCTGCAGGGACACAGGCCAGCAACCTTGCCTCTTGATTCAGTGGTGCTGATGTGAGCAGTAAGTGGGATCTATGTACATCGTTAACCTTGAAGATTCTCTGATAATAGAGCATTTTCATATCTTAGTGCAGTATGATTTGGTTGCCTATTAATTTTTCCTTAACCTTACCAACCTAGGTATGTCGATGATTCCATAGCTCTTCAAATAGCACTTGGAAATAGAGATATAAATACTTTTGAGCAGATTGATGACTACAGTCCAGACACTATGGTAACATTTAACAATTGTTATATCAAAGCATGTTTTAGTTTTGTCACAAGAACTTTGAGACAGGTCTTTCTTTGCTCAGCAGCTGTGAAGTACTTCTGTACTCAGTGCTATGCAGAGTGTGCATGAAAATGACTTCATCTGGTGTGGCAGGCGTCTGTAATCCCAGGACTGGGGACCCTGAGACAGGAGAATTGTCACAAGTTCAAGGTTAGCTTGGGCTATACAGTGAGATCTTGTCTTTATGGTTTTGTTTTAAGACAGATTCTCAATATAAAGTCCTGTTGAGAAACTCATGTAGAACAGAATGGCCCTGAACTCACGGTCTCCTGGGTACTGGGATTAAAGTTGTACACCACCACATATAGCCAGTTACTTTTCAAAAATGATTAACTTGATCCTAGAGAAATTATCTTTTAAAATACAGGTGTATTCGTTTTTTAATACTAGAAACTGACTACATGATATTTTTAAGACGAGCATAGGATACGTTCAGCACTTTTTGTCTCATCTTACATCATTCAGACTCTGTGGTACTTGGCATTGTTGAAAATCCAAAACATGACCCTTGAGTACAAACTGTCTTAGACCAATTCGTGAAATACTCAGTGAGCTCTCCCTCCATGTGTGTTTGAACTCTTCACTGCTGTTTTTGTTGTATATACTCCTTGCAGCCAGGTGTCCTGTTAGCATCTGCCACCTCTTCAGGGCATGTTTATTTCTTCAATAAGTTCTTTTTGCTTCTGTAATTTCTTTCCTTCTTTGATAACGCCATGTATGTATACAGAGTTAAATCATTTATGCACAGAACCTGTATTAGTTTATCTTATTGTTGGGAGTCATTACTGAGGTGAGAGTCTGGAAAGAGTTGTATTTACACATCTGAATTAGCAATTCAATAATTTCACCAGGAGTGTGATGCTGAAGGTGTTTGTCTTAAACCCACACAGATCATTGCACTGACTCTGTAGGGTCTGAGCTGCTAAGATGGCTAGGATTCAAAAACCCAGATCTGTTGCCTCATCCTTTTTATAGAGAAGTTAGTTATCCAGCAAACTATTTCATCTAAAGTGTGGATTTCCTAGTCTTTTCTTTTTCCTTGCTTATTTCTTTTTCTCAGTAAATGCACCTGTGTGATTTAACTCCAAGAGTCATACTGGTGAGGCTGTTTTTCTGTTCTCAAGCCTTAAGTTAATCTTCCTTGGCAATTCTCAGAGCATGTTTTGAATGTTATGTTTTTGTTTTCCCTTTTTCTTTCAGCAAAAAAGATTTTTTGGTTTTAGAACATTTGGAAATTGGTTATGTGACGTTCATACTTCAAGATTTTCTGTTTTGTTTTTGTGTTTTGAGACTGGATCTCTCTACATAGCTCTAGCTGTTCTGGAATTCACTGTACAGAACTCAGATCTGTCTGCCTCTGCCTCCCAAGTGCTGGGATTAAAGATGTGTGCCACCACTTGGCCCAATTTTCTGTCTTAACTTTTTGGTCTTGGCTGCCTTTGTCTATTGTAATAGCATCATTTTTAGCAGTCTTCTGTAACAGTTGTAATCATAAATCTTATCAGTGAATCCGTTACCTTGTGGGTATTAACTGGCTTAAACGCTTTCTCCAAAGTTTTATGTAAGATTCAATGTCTTCAAGAACAGCTTTCTCTTTTTCAGCATGGTACCAAGGGAGTCTGATTAAAAACTATAACTTTTAAACCTAGATTATTCTGGTTTGAACTTAACAGATTTTTATCCTGGCTTGCGAGCTTATGGTTGTAATCCCAGCACTTGGGAGACTGAGGCAGGAGGATCAGTTCAGCTAGCCTAGATTACGAGAGACTCTGTCTCAAACAAATAATTAAAATTAAACAACTTTCAAGCTGGAGAGGTGGCTTAGCAGTTAAGAACACTGATTGTTCTTCCAGAGGTCTTGACTTCAATTCCCAGCAACCACATGGTGACTTGCAACCAGCTATAATGGGATCTAATACCCTGCTCTCTTCTGGTGTATTGAAGAGAGCGACAGTGTATCATATACATAAAATAAATAAATCTTAAAATGATAATAATAATAATAAAATTAAACAGATTTCTGAATAAGGTGGGTGACTGCTTTGAACACATGCCTTTGTGTCCCAGTGCCATTTAAAGGCTGTGCAGTGATCATGTGTCATGGGGCCATTGCTGAAGTGATGCTCAGACTTTAAGGATGCTCTTTCTTTGCTGGCCTCGTTGAGTTTCTACTTAAGAATATTTAGGTTTTGTGTCTTAGAAATGAACCATTTGACTCCTGTTAGAAGACAGACCTAGGAACTTAACATATATTCAAGAGAGAAGGGTAAGGTTAGCAGAAGAAAGACAAAAGTATTAGAGCTAAGACCATCAGATCCCTTCCCTGGCTCTGTTCCTTTTTGCTCTCCTACCAGGCCCCTCACATACTAGACAAGTACTGCATCATTGAGCCATTTTTAATTTGAAATAAAATAATCAGTGCTCAAGAAGTCACCCAGACTGGGCCTAAACTCACTGTAACCTAGGTAGCCTTTCAATTTTCAATTCTCCTGCCTCACCAGGCCAGTCTCAAAAGTTTTTCTTTTGAACAGTAATTGAACATTACTGTAAGCAGACACAGAAGGAAATGGTCATTTCTCCTGTTCAAGTAGCCTTTTTCGTTGTTCTTTTCTAGCCAGCCTACTCAAGAAGCCATAGCTGGGATGACAAAGCACATCAGAAGTCACCTGTTGCCAATAGCATTTGGCACAAGAATTATTGTCCTAGACTTGAGGTGAATAGTGTTTCCCATGCTCCTCAGTTGAAGGAAAATCCAACTACTGTGGGCCTTAAACAAGTGATTAGTACTAAAGGGTTAAACCTTACGAGGAAGTCTTGCGTGTTGAAGAGACCAAGAAATGGTATGTATGTATGTATGTATGTATGTATGTATGTCATGGTTTCCAAATGTTGGTGGTGTTTGGTCAGATCTAAGAAGTCTTTTCCAAGCCTGGGTCACTGCACTTTCCTTGACTTAGCCTGCTAGCTTTGCCCTTGTGACTCTTCTGTTTAGAGCTGATGTAGACAGACAGATGGTGGACTGTGAGACTCCAGGCTCCTTAACTTGCATATGGCAATGCTGTTGTCAGTGCTGTTGGCCCCAGAGTTTCCCTTTTTTCATGTAGCTGCCTTGCACCTGTTACAGGAAATACCTAACCATGCAGTGCATCCTGGCTGGGCGCTCACTCCCTGCTCCTCCTGTTAGACACACTTTTCTTACTGTAGTTCAGCACATCTTAAAGTCAGGTAGTGTAAATCCTTGGAGTTGGCTCTGCTTTTCAAAAGTTACTTTTTCCTGTTGGAGGTGCTTTCTGGTTTTGTGTAACTTAGGATTCACTTGCCAACTTGTCTTTTTAAAAAGAGCTATGGGGCTGGGTGGTGGTGGCACACTCCTTCAGTGCCAGGACCTGGGAGGAGACAGATGGAACTCTCAAGGCCAACCTGGTCTAAAGAGCAAGTTTAAGGGCAGCCAGGGCTATACAGATAAACTGAGAAACCCTGTCTTAGAAAGGAAAAACTGTGGTCTGCCATTGGCTGTGCCATGTGTGCTCCACTTTATCCCTCAGGGTGTCCAGGCACCCTGCACACCAGGCTGAAAGGATAACACAGAGCCCCTTCCGGAGGATTCTGATCTGGTGGGAGGGGGAGGAGCTTGTACGCATACACTATTCAGGATGAACGTGGGCTATATATGAACCTTGGAGAGTGGGAAGCAGTTCTTCTTAGGGTAACGTTTTATTGGCTGGAGTTTAAAGTAGTGTGAATGCCTCCTTTATATGGAGAGACATTCTAGGAATCCCAGGTACTGTCTGGGTGGGTTCTTATGGGCGGGGGTGGGGGTGGGGAGAGCAGTTAAACTTTTGAATTTACCAAAGACTATCTGACATTCCTCAGGTAAAACATTGGGGTCAGACTTCCCAGATTTGGCAGAGAAGAGAAAGCCTTGCTAAGAAAAAGGAGTCCTGTATTTTTGTACTGCGTTCAGAGGAGCTATCCAGACAAGATAGACTACAACCTTAGTAGCAGGGTACAAAAGAAAAAAAAATACTATGGTGATTTAACTAAATAATTTAGAGTAAATAGCATATTAATAGTGACTCTGTTTATTGAAGACTTCAGAGATCTCGTGTTCTGTGTAAAGATGTTGAAAATCACTTGTCAAGTTTATTATATTTTTGGATTTTTTTATCCTCCTGAAGATGATAATTTCAGTTTCTAATTGATGCCAGTATATAGAAATACAGCTGATTTATTTTTATTTACTGTTATTGTATGTGTGGAGGAGTGCAGTTTTGCCACTATGCACCCACCACTGGGGTCAGAGGACAACTCCATCTCTCTTTCCAGCTTTACATGAGTTCCAGGTGTCTAACTCAGCTCATCAGGTTTGCACAGCAAATACCACCAAGCCGTCACCAGCTCGTCTGAGCTTAGCTTGAGTTTCTCCAGTTGCCACTGGAGCCGAGTGCTGTGACATTTTAAACTTCCATGTAGATTGTTGAAACTGTGGCCCCTGTGTCTTATATTTTCATTATATTGTTCGTGTTCGTGTATGAAATAGTTGGGTGAATTAGAGAAAGTCCAGGAATCTGGAGTTCCAGACTCAGTCTCTTAGGGTGTACAACCTCACTGCAGATCCTTGTCCTGAGGTAACAGGAGCTGTCACTGGGACACTGTGAGACACCAGGCGTCCCAGCTAGCTGCACTTCAAGTCCTCTGCACTGTTGTATTCTTGCTTTCCTAGGCTGTCACCTTTGTATTCTACATTTGATCCCACAGCCTTTTTTGGACTCATGGCTTGGTAATAAAGAGCCAAGCTAGAACACAGTCACACTTCTCTCAGAAACGACAACAGTAAATGATTGCTGGTTTTATTGGAGCATTAAAAACTTTCAAACATTAATCATAGCTTTATATATAAGTTGCCCTCCAATTTTTTTCAACACTTAAATAAAAATATAGTCATTCAGAATCCATTATGCCCAGAAATCTTCTTTTTTTTTTTTTTTTTTTTTTTTTGCTTTTTCGAGACAGGGTTTCTCTGTGTAGCCCTGGCTGTCCTGGAACTCACTCTGTAGACCAGGCTAGCCTTGAACTCTTGAACTCAGAAATCCGCCTGCCTCTGCCTCCCAAGTGCTGGGATTAAAGGCGTCCGCTACCACCGCCCGGCCGGAAATCTTCTGATTAGTATAATTTCATATGAAATCATACATATAATTGACATTAAATGTTAACCAATTTGGAAAATGGTAAAATACAGCTAAGATAATAATTTTTTCAGTTCTTTTATACGAGGTGTAGCTTTCAAAAACCAAAACTGGGCTAAATGTGTGGGTCTGTGTGGGGTCCTTGCTCAGCACGTGCAGAAGAAAGAGCACGATTTGCCTTTAGGGCAGCAGGACTTGAGGTGTAACATCCAAGGCAAATAGCCAGAAAGGGATTCACCCTGTGCCTCTGTTGTTGTTTAGAAGCGCTGTGTGAAGATGACCTGCTGAGCCAGTATTCATCATTTACAAAGAAGATCAAGGAAAATGGCTGTGGGGATGGCACATCGCCTAACTCTTCTGAAATGTCCGTGCCCTGCCCTGATGCTGGGACTGCTCACAAGACAGATGCACACACCCCGTCTAAGACGAGGAATAAATTCTCAACGTTCTTACAGAGGAGGAATGAAGAAAGTGGTGCAGTCATAGTTCCAGGGACCAGAAGCAGGTATAGCAGCTTCAGGGCACCGTCTGAGCTACGGGTATGGAAGCTAGGTGCATCACTGTTTGCAGAAGCCTGCTACATGCTGGCTTCCTTAGATGTCTTATATCTCAGTTACTGTTGCTGTTACTGCAACAAAAATGCCTGACAAAAGTTACTTAACAGAAGGAAAGGTTTGTCTTAGATCAAATTTCAAGAATGTCTCATGTCTGTGAGAAGAAGCAGGAGGTAGTTGGTCACATTGTACTTACAGTCAGGAAGAAGAAAACTATGGATGCCTGCCCAGTCTTTTGGTTCAGAACTCTAGCCCATGAAATATTGCCACCTACATGTAGGGTTAAGTCTGCAGATTCTCGGGCCTGCTGGAGACTCCTTCCTTAGGTGATCTTAGTCACTAGACAGTAGTTCAGATCAGAATGCATTGCTGTTCCCTTCCACATCTGTTAGTTCTGTGATGTTCCACTCAGAAAAAGTGTGAAATGACTGCAGTTCCTGCAAATACATACTGTAGGTGGATTCTGTAGCTTTAGGGTTCTCTTTTCCTTCTGATGTTTCTCCTTTTATAGTGTTTTGAGGCCCTGATCTGTCTTATCTTTATTAATGTTAATATTTTTCCTACAAATAGTTCAGTTTATCTGTTAAGATCTAGAAATATAGTAAACAACACCGTAGACTAATTGGGGAAGAGCAGCTATGAACTGAGGCAGGGGATTTGGGTTTGGTTTTTGTTTTGTTTAACTCTGTACTTGATGGAGAATTATGTAGAAAGACTAGGCTTATGTTAAACTTAGGGATCCCCCTGTCTCTTATCTTCCAAATATAAGGATTAAAGAATCTTGGGCTCTGTGTTACTATGTAAACAAGTTTCTAAAAATGTACTAGTTGGCCAGGCGGTTGTGGTGCACGCCTTTAATCCCAGCACTTGGGAGGCAGAGGCAGACGGATTTCTGAGTTCGAGGCCAGTGTGGTCTGCAGAGTGAGTTCCAGGACAGCCAGGGCTACACAGAGAAACCCTGTCACGAAAAACCAAAACCAAAGAAAAAAGTACTAGTTATTACATATATATGAATGAATGCATGCCTTATCCTGGCATGGTGGCACAAGTTTTTAATCCTAGTACTCGGGAGGCAGATCTGAATTTGAGCCCACCCTATTTATATAGTGAGTTCCATCCAGGGCACCCAGAGCTGTGTAGAGAGACTGTGTCAAAGCAACAAAAAACAGAGACTGTAAAGCTCAGTTAACATGGAAAGTCACTGTGGTCTCTAGTGTATGAGAGTAGACACGTGACTCTTGATAGATTTGTGAGTAGACTCTGAAGACTTAAGTTCATCCATCTTCCTGGTTCTTGTCAGGTTTTTTTGCAGTTCTCCAGATTTTGACAACTTCATACCAAAAAAAGGCAGCAGCCAGCCTCTAAATGAAGCTGTTGCCACTGGCAAAGCCACCACCAGCCTCCTCGTGGCATTGGACTGTTCAGACACAGAAGGCCAGAAGCCGGTCGGCACAGATGGAATGCACAGTCCAAATCCTCAGATTCCAGGCTATGTAACTGTGTCTCCTGAGGATGAGGCTCAGTCTTCTGAGACCAGCAAATCCCTGGGGACACTAAGAAGTTGTTTCAGTTGGTCTGGTACTCTCGGGGTGTTTTCAAGAACTCCAAGTCCCTCAACAAGCACTACACTGCAACAGTTCCGGAGAAAGAGTGAGCCCCCCACCTGTCTTCCTGAGGCCTGTGCTGTCACTGACACATGTGATTCAGAGCGTGAGATGTCAGGTGATAAGTCTCAACCCTTGCATGAGCTGGGCTGCTCCTCATTGTCTCAGGAAAGCATAGACTCCACATGCAGCTTAAATGCGTCCAGTCTCTCCCAGCCTTCCAGTAAGGATTCAGATTCAGAGGTAAGTAAATGTCTTTCTGAAGTCTTTGCTTTCAGGCTCAAACACGGGGAAATGGCTGTTGACCAGACAGTTGAGGACATTTTGCCATCATTGTAGAAACTGGTTTTCCTCAACTTTTATTCAAAATTCTCCCATGTTCAGGGCTGGAGAGATGGCTCAGTATTTAAGAGCACTGACTGCTCTTCCAGATGACCTGGATTCAATTCCCAGCACCCATGTGGCAGCTTATAACTGTCTAAAACTCCAGTATAACTACCAAGTTGTAAATTCACAGTAATATTTGACAAAACTTTGGTGCCCAACAGTATTGAATATTGAATGGCATGTAATAAATCCATATAGCCTGAGAAAATACTCACTTTATCAGCCTAGCCATCAAGCTAGCCTGAAGATACTCAGAACTGTTGGAGTCAATCAAGAAAACAACCAGACAGTGATGGCGCACATCTTTCATCCAGCGCTTGGAAAGCAAAGGCAGGTAGATCTCTGGGTTTGAGTCCATCCTGGTCTACAGAGAAAAGAAAGAAAGAAAAGAAAGATAGAAAAAAAGAAAATAGCCATTAAAATGTGGAAGTAACTTGTTTCCACTTGGAGAAAACTGAAATCAGGTTACATCTTTGGATTCTAAGTTGACATTGTTTGCTGTTTTAGGATCTTGCCAGCTCTGCTTTTGGCTGCCCTTGAGACTGCCTCTCGTTTCCCCTTTTTAAATTTTTTTTTTAAATTGGGTTCATTTACCTTATGAGCGTGTGTGTGTGTGTGTGTCCATGTGTGGTAGTGGTGGTGGTGGTAGCATGTGCCCTGGTGCACAAGGGAGGATCAGAGGACAACTTGAGAGCGTCATTTCTGCCCCTTAACTACATACATCCTAGGGAGTGAACTATGGTTGTCAGGACCTGCCCACTCAATGAGCCATCTCTTGCTTTGCCTTCAGCTACTTCATGTTGACTTCTTCTATCCTGTAATCTAGAAGTCTTTGTTTCATTTAATGAACTGCCACTACATGGAATGTTGCCTCTTGGGCCCATTTGAGTTACCAGGACAGTTGGCCAGCTCTCCACCATTTTTCCACAGAAGCATCTGTTTGGAGGACATTGCAAGCATCTGAGCTCCTGTAGGGAGAGGAGCTTGGTTCTCATCTCCCAGAACACATCTTTCTGCCTCACTTACTTTGTAAGCTTTCAGCTGAATAATGATGGTGCTGAGAGCCATTCTGTCTTCCAGAATAAATATCTTCTACCCTGAGGTGGTATTGAGATAGGGACCCAGCCAGGTATGAGCATGCATGCTGGCAATTGTAGCACTAAGGAAGCTGAAGCAGGAGGATCATGAATTTGAGACCCTCCTGGGCTATGTAGCAAAACCCTGTGTTACAAGACTAAAAAAGAAAAGAAAAAGTAACTTTCTTTCTCAGCAAAGAACTAAGGTGGTTCATTGGCTGTCTTCTTTCCACCGTGTGCAGTAAGCTCCTCAGGAGAGATGCTTTAGTGCTCAAAAAATTGAATTTATATGGTGAGGTTTACTATATCTTGGAGTAACAGATGTTCCCAAAGCACAGTACAGTTGAGCTTTGGTCTCTCTATTTGTTTTATGGTCTTTGGGCCTTGTTTTGAATATCAGGTTTCAGTTTGTACTTCTAAAGAGCTTCAGTATCGGAGCCTTCGGGAAAAGTTGGTTATGAAAGGGCAGCAACTGTATCCAGCCATTCACCAACCAAGTCTTAAGTAATCTCAGAGTCATGCTCATGACCTTCTTGTAAGAAACTGTTCAGTGCCGGGCAGTGGTGGCACACACCTTTAATCCCAGCACTTGGGAGGCAGAGGCAGGCAATTTCTTGAGTTTGAGGCCAGCCTGGTCTACAGACTGAGTTCCAGGACAGCCAGGGCTACATAGAGAAACCATGTCTCAAAAAAAGGGGGGGGGGGGGCTGGAGAGATGGCTCAGTGGTTAAAGAGCACTGACTGCACTTCCAGAGGTCCTGAGTTCAAATCCCAGCAACCACATGGTGGCTCACAACCATCTGTAATGAGATCTGATGCCCTCTTCTGGTGTGTCTGAAGACAGCTACAGTGTATTCATATATAATAAATAAATAAATCTTTAAAAAAAAAAAAAAAAAGAATGTTCAGCCAGTTGGGCATGTCACAGTGATTTAATCTCAGATTTTGAGGGCTGCAAATTAGTCTACAACCTGGGCTACACACCAAGATCTTGTCTGAAAAATAAGTCACTTAAGTCGGGTGTTACAGTGTATACCCATAATCTCAGAAATTAGAAAGCAGGGTGAGAAGGTTGCTCTAAGTTTGAGGCTATCTTGGTCTAGGTAATGAGTTCCTGATCATTTAGGGCTGTAGAGCAAGAGAGACCTTGTCTCCAAAAAGAAAATAGCAGAGCTCACCACTTAACACCACTGTTAGCTACAGCAGAGAAATCAGGAAGGCACAAGGCAGTCTTGTCTTGCTCTGAAGTCCTGATACACTCTAGAATCCCAAGAGAAATACAGGAAACCTCAGAGACGTGCCAGGTACAGTCCATACTTACTGACCTTCCTCTTTGATATATGGGAGAAAATACTGAGAAGTTTCACTATATGGAGTCTCTTGTGAGTGGAACTGAGGCAGAGGAGCCCTCAAAGTCACTGCTAAAGTAAGTGGAGCATTTGACACAGCACCTCAGAGTAGGGCCCATCTAGAAGGAAGATGTGTTTTCTGTTTTCAGTGTCGACCATTTTACAGCACAGCTAAGATACCGTAGTAGGACTGCTGGTTTGGTTTTGTGTAGTCAGTGACTAAGCTGTTGCCAGGATGGCAGGAGAACCCAGCCCCTGCTTCAGCATATTTGGTTTCGTCTTTGAGAACTTTGTATACATAATGAAATATGATCAGATATACCCTTCCCTCCCCACTGTCTCTCCCTATCCGCCACCCCAGCACCCACTACTCCTAACTCCATGTCTTTTTTTGTAACCCTAAGTGTAATTAGTGCTTCTTATATGAGCATAGGTGTGGGCTATGCTTGGAGCATGGAAACCCTCTAAGCATCACAACCTCGGAATGACTCCCTCTCCGGAAGCTGTCACCTGCCTATAGTTCCCCAGTAGAGGGAGGAGTGGGGCCTGGGGATCACGGCAAACAGTTGTGTGGGGTTTTTGCTGCCTTGGTTTTACACAGCTATGTGAGTTGTGCTACAGCCATGTCATGTCACGTCCAGGCAACATTTCACAGCACTCCACCCACCCCAACCCTCGCCCCCTCCCCGGCCCTCCAACACTTACTTTCTCCCTCCTCGTCTGGGGAGTTAGCTGACTCTTGGCAGAGCTTGGGGGCTGAGAAAGGTCCCATTTAGGGCTACGCATCAGCATCTCATAGACTCCTGAAGTGATTGATAAAGACGTTTCCAAACCTTAAGTGTGTATTTTATACACTATTTCTTCAGGTATAGTGTTTTGGTGCTTTTCTGAGTGAAATTGACAAGTACCTTTTCCATTTCAATTTGTTGCCTTTTATTCTTAACCGTGTTATGTCTTTTTGTGAAATTGTGTTATTTATTTGTGTTTCTTATTTTGCATATTTTGTTGAGTCTTGGGTGAGTTATCATAAAAATCCAAGTAAATTTTTGTTTTCCCTGTGGGTAATCTAGGAATCGGATTGTAACAATAAATCACTTGATAACCAAGGAAATCAAAACTCCAAGCAACACTTACCTCACTTTTCAAAGAGAGACATGCTTGAACAGAACAAGGTAAAACATTTGGAATTAATTTTTTTTTCAAATTTCACAAGCATTATACAATTTGTGCCGGGGGCGGGGGGGAACACTCAGATACCTGTGTTTCGATTTTTTTAATGCCTGCTTTCAAACGTCTTCAGATGGCATTTGTGGTGAACTGGATGTTTGGTATGTTAGTTCGAATTTGTTTTCTCTAAAGAACTTTTTCTATGTATGTAGGTAACTAGTAGTACTATGTATGTTACATAATCCAATTTATAATTGTTTACCCTAAGATTTTTTATTTCTGAGAATGAGGTCATGGGGTCACTGGCTCTTCCTAAAGTGAGAATGATTTGCTGAGTGTTTCCACAAACCTAAACACTTTGGAGCCAAGCACAGCTGTGGGCTTCTATCTGTTTAACTTTTCAACTTTTATATACAGTCTGCCAAATTAATCACTTTTAAAGACCTATTCATACACCTCCCTCTCTATCCTGAGAAACAGTGCACAGGACAAAAATCAGCCTTAAAGGCCCAATGTGCTGGCACACGCCTTTAATTCTAGCACATGGGATGCTGAGGCGGAAAGAGCTCTGAATTCCAGGACAGCCACAACTGTATAGAGAAACCCTGTCAAAAACAAACAAACAGAAAATCAGCCCTCAAGTAGAAACAAAAATATCAAGAAATGTAAGTCAGCTATGCTACCTTTGCACAATGGTAGAACAGACAAACTTCCTCAAAATGCAGTTCCAATTTCCTGTTGAAATGCAAGAATCTCTAAGATGTATCATTAAGTGGGATCAAGGGAAATGAATAATACCTCATTGCTTCTGTAGTAAACATCTTTAGGTAATTTTTACATTGCATGTGGGTTCTTTTCCTGTTCTGGTATATAAAGAACACCTAGGAATTAAAAGCAGTTCTTTTAGAACACAGGGAACTTGGGCATTTGGGGAGACCCACACTCCCATCTCTAAGAACCAAAATAAAAGTAACAACAATTCCAATTTATCTTCAGGTTCCTGGGCTCTGTAGGTCTAGTTCTATGGACTCTTTTTCTACAACCAAGATCAAGCCCCTGGTGCCTGCCAGAGTCAGTGGCCTGAGCAAGAAGCAAGGAAGCATCCAGAAGAGAAAACACCATGATGCCGAGAACAAGCCAGGACTGCAGATAAAGATCAGTGAGCTCTGGAAAAACTTTGGGTTTAAAAAGTGAGTTTCCTGGTTTCTTTCTGAGTCAGAACCCTGTCTTCTGCAGCCCTGTCCCCAGCTCTGTCTGCTTTCAGTCAGTCCCTGCCTCTCACTTTCAGCTCCCAGTCAAGCTTGGAGCTTCTTTTCCAGAGCAGAAGGTCTTTTCCTTCTAGCTCAGGACTGCAATGTAAAGGGGTTAGGCAGGAGCTCAGAGGGGATAAACTTAACTTAAACTGTGTTTCTCTGACTCTGCAACCTAACACAAAGAAGTACTGTAGTTAAGTGTGCCTATAGAAAGGGTTCCTTTGTTACAGACAGTGCTTGTTACATACATTAAGAATCTTGAGCCAGGTGGTGGTGCACGCCTTTAATCCCAGCACTTGGGAGGCAGAGGCAGGTGGATTTCTGAGTTCAAGAGTTCGAGGCTAGCCTGGTCTACAGAGTGAGTTCCAAGACAGCCAGGGCTACACAGAGAAACCCTGTCTGGA